GGAGCTTCCCTCTAAATTTTTCCACCATCCAAATTTATAAAATTTGGTGTGTTTCTCCTTTTAAACCCTTACATTCCCTTTCAACTTTTTCAATGTGGGATTCTTTACATTACTAACTATCTCTAACAGTCATGTATATAATTGATAGTCTCAATCCTTGCAGTGGAGGTTTCAAAATATAAAATTTGTCTCATTTTGATTCCAATATTTCAACTACATCATTTTGGTTTTTGAAATATTTAATATATTTCAATGTGGTCCCTCAAGCAGACAACATCACGTGATATTTAAATATGGACAAAAAATAATTTTGATAACTCGTAACCAAAATTTGGATAGTTCTTCACAAAAAATGTGTAATATAGGTAGCTCTTGAACAAATTTTAGATCGCTTATGATTAAAACTATGTAATTTGTGTAGCTCTTAGACAAAAATTTGGAAAGAAATTTGGCCAAGAGTTATCCAAATTATTATTTACCCATATCTACGTATTACACGACAAGTTTATCATAAAAAATCGACTTGAGGTACCACATAAAAATATATTCAATATTTCAGGGATAAAACTGTGCTGCCCAAATATGTTTACCAAATCTTATATTTCAAATGATTTGTCAAAATCTCATGCATTGAATATTTGGTGAAGTTAGTGGACTCCACTGATCTAACCACCCACAATGATTTGGGATACAAAATTTGGTAAATGATTTGATCAGAATAGCATTGTTCATACTTCAGGGACCAAAATGTTGTAATTGAAATATTGAGAATTAAAATGAGACAAATTTCATATTTTGGGGACCTCTAGTACAATTAACCCTAATTCTTATACATCACAATGTTTATATTCATTTTTTATTAAAATAATTCCTTGTAAGATTTGGAATTTTTTTTCCTAGCCAATAAGTTTTGATATTTCATTTTAGACGGGGAGTGGAAGAGAGACCACAAGAGGAAAGATGAAAAATGGATTATTAAATGCATTTTTTTTCCACAAAAAAGGATACCAAATTAAAAGTGAAATTTAGACCAGTAATTTTGAAAGTTCCAAAGACAAAAACAAAAAAGGTTATAGATTTTGAGTAAATAGATATTTGTGGCATAGAAATACCAAGTAGATACAAATTATTGCTCTCTTAATTTATACTATTAATAAAAGGAGAGGAAAGGTCTTGGTGTTCACCCTTGAAATACCCATAATACACTTTATTACTTTCTAAATAACTACACATAACTCGGATTTTTACTCCATTCAATAATTTCGTTCATAAAATATCAATTTTTTCTAAATAAATAACTATCTCTCTTTTTAACCCTATTTAACTCCCAATTCTCTTTTTCCATGGGTAATCGTGTGGGTAGAGCATTTAATGCTTAAAAAAAATAAGAATCCCGAGTTAATAAATTGTTGTAATAGTACATGAATAAAAATACATTGTCCACCAAAAATGTATCTAGCGTCATCACTGTGATCTTTACACTTCATTTTGATGATTAAGTCAATTTTTTTAGGTTTCAATAGTACTACTCTTCTTGAAATGCTTGTTACTTGGGATTTAATTTTCACAAAAGTAATTTTCATTGTTTTTAGAAAAACATATTCTTAAAAAAAAATGTTACCAACGGATGTCTAAATTAAAGCATGACATGTTTGTTTTTGACATGTCACATAAGTACTGATTAATTATTTCAACGTAATTCGATGAACAAAAGATACCCAGAGGACTTACAAGCAAGGAAGGCTTTCCATTGAACAAGGGGAAGATCTATATATCAAAGACAAGCCCTCCTGTTGTAGTAGCAGCCTATCTAGCTCAATTTAAAGAAGATTTCACCTTGTTTTTGAAGTCTCGTGCTGAAGAGACGGTTCAAAATGGTCGTATGGTCTTGATACTTCATGGTCGACAAGCCTCAGATCCTTGGGGTAAGGAGAGCTGCTACCATTGGGAAATATTAGCCGAGACCATATCTAAGATGGTTTCACAGGTAAAATTTTTTTGAAAAATAAAATTATTTTTAGAAGCTATAAACGTATGATGATGTTCATTATCCCCCCCCCCCCCCTTCCAAAAAAAAAAAGACTTCATGGAGCATGCTCTGGTTTACAACACTTGATATTGCACATCGCTTAGTGTAAAATAATTAAGTTTTTTTTATGTTCGAATTCGGATGAAATTCTCATTAGAACAAGACTTGACAAACAAATAAAGAATTCCCGAATGTTTTTTTTTTTTTTTTTTTGGGGGGGGGGACTTTATTCCCTCAAAGGACATCCACGAACAAAGAAAAAAGAGCACATTGGTGTTTAAGAGGAACAATCATTTTAGTGTGCAAACAAATTCCATTAGGATGTGAGGGGTCTCACTAATGTTGCCTAGGTTTTATTGTGACATTTTTCAATAGGCAAATGTTTTATCTTTGTCCCTCGAGGTATGAAATTACCTAGTTTCTCGGGTTGTTAATCGATCTTTTGAAGGAAATTATACAAAACTCGGTGATGGATGGTTTATATTTTTTTCTTACCACTTGTTCATTCGTAGGGCTTGGTTGATGAAGAGAAGTTGGACTCCTTCAATGTACCATACTACACGCCATTACAGGAGGAAGTGCAAGATATAGTTGACAAGGAAGGATCATTCGCAGTTCAACATATAGAGACATTTACACTTGTTCTTGCAGACAACCAAGAGAGTGATACAAGGGCTAAGGGAGAACAACTTGCCAAGAATATCAGGTGCTACACTGAATCAATCATCTCTTACCAATTTGGAAAGGAAATAACGGAGAAACTGTATCACAAGTTGACCCAAATTGTAGTTAAGGACTTGGCCAGTAGATCACCGACGAACACAACCGTTGTTGTTGTGCTAAGCAGGACCATGGGATAGCTCAATATTCTCAGCTTGAATCAGGTGACGGCATGACTAATAAGTTTTTTCAGATAATATGTTTCCATATAACTTTTAAGCACACACACGCACACACACACGCACGCGCACACACGCACAGAGACAGACAGAGAGAAATTCCACCTTTTTTCCTATCCCTTTGGACGTACAAAGTACAACTCACATATGGAGGAATGTTGTGGCTAGCTAGTATTTCATGTTAGATTGTCGTGCTAATTTTTCTGTACATTTATAACTCATTTACATTGTACACAACAAATTTCACAACTTAATTCAGATTGTGTGATTTTTAAAAAAATCGTCAAAGGCCCTATTATCTTTTAGCTATTATGTGACAAAGTACCTACTTGTGTTAAAAGGTGACCAAACTCTATACTTGGTGGAATTTAACTTATAATTATCACTAGAATGTGTAATAATGATCGCAAAGGCCTAAGAAAGACTTTACTTAGATTCTAATTGCGTGCATATATTCTCATTTTTTTTCCGCACATTCTCATGGTGGAATTGTTGACAGTAATACAACGTGATTGAATCATACCTACAACAATTATGTGCTTTACATGTAATGATTAAGTCTTGGCTTGGTATTATTATAGAATTCAATGATTCGATTGTATTTTATGCTTATTATGTTTTCATCATCCGAATAAGCAATGAAATTAAATGAATCAGACTTCACAGCGGCAATGGACATAATGGGGATAAACATGAAGGGATTGTGCTCCCTAGGGTAAAAGGCCTCAAACAACGTTTTAGCGTCCGAGAGGCATGTGAGTTACTTGTATCCTTAACTAAAAGAATTTAGAAATGAGTGGTGGGACACACCGAGGTGCAAGCCTTTTAAGTGGTCCTAGCTTCCCCCCCAAATTGTTGGACTTGAGAGGGATAATCCAGAGTTGGTAAGTAAGGACGTGTGAAATAATATTTATGGTGGATGCAATGCATGTGATTTTGGCATTTATATGTCATGTGCAACGTATGTGCTAGTGTAATACATGTAACAATATTTGTTATCTCATTTTGCAGGTAATAAGCTTGGAGATAACAAGACTTCTTTCCCGAAATTGTCTTGAATGCTTAACTTCTTTTAGCATGTATCTTGTTTTGGAAGTTTATGTATTTTGAACTTATGTTGAAGGTCTTTGGCTATGTATTTCTTATGTACTTTGCTTTGGAGACCTACAAAATATTATGTAATATTGAAACTTAAGGATAACAATCGTATGTAATAATGCTTGGGTTTGTTTTAATAGCTCTGGGATGCCAATTTTCTAAAAGAAAATTCATTAAATGAAATCATGATTGACTCACTCAAACTGTAAAAACTTATGAATTATCACTCAAATTATTAAATCAGCCCTATAAAATTTGGGACGTGAAGCAAAAAGCCTATTAATGGTGTTAATTTTTTATATTGGTCCAAAACCACAGAGGATTTGGTGGTTATATTTGAACCATAAGGGGTGAGCCCTCTTGGGCCCACCAGATTTCCCTTTTGTGAAATATAAGTAGACCAAATTTTTGCACATTTCGGCTTGTTGCACATTTTGCATTCTCTTCCATTTATTTAGTTCTCTATTTTTCTCTGTTTATTTTTAATTACCATCTCTTGCATGTTTTGATTTGAATACTCATTTCTTTTTGGAATTGTTGCGTTACAAATTGTTTGATATGCAAATTTTATGAAAAGTAAATAATCTTTTGCATGGGTGGGTGTGATGAGAATGAATTACACTCAAATTCGTATTGTAAAGTATTAGAGGTTTTTCTACCTTGAAGGGTTTAATGGTTGCATAACACTTGTAGGGAGTTTGATTTCTTGCGAGAGTCAACCACTATTTGTTCATGTTGGTTCAAGGTTCAGAAAGTATTTTCACTTATTATGCAGCTTAAATGAGGTTTAGAACAGTTATACGGTAGAAGGAAATCTTTTAAAAATAAAAGTAAAGTACTATTACATTATTTACCTACAAATAACAAAAACAAACAGAAAGATGGGACAACTCATGCTTCAAACTTCATGGATGGCCACAGATTAAACTTATAGCCTGTTACTCGCTTGGACTTGCCCTGATCACCTGATGGTATTACTCGTCATGGTATTGAAACCTTTCTTCATCTACCACTTCTTGTTCTTTTATTGGAATGTTTACCTCCTTGTAATTAAACCAAAAAGCAAGTGCATAGAAAAAAAGATTGGCACAACTCATTGCTGCTAGTGTGTAATAGTACTTATCTAGTCGGCTTTTTTTTAGTGTCTCCCCGACCCAGATTTCAACCCTTCTCTCGTCGCTAATCTTTCCCACAACATTAACAGTTAGAACACTAGCTATGAATCCAACTCCCAAGAAAGCTTCAGTGAGTTTGCTCAAATATGACTGCATTGAATTAGGTACTTGATCGACCCAAAAATGGGTCATGTTACTGAGGACAATCCCTTGTGCAACACCTAGGAGGAGAAACTGAGGAATCAGCAAGAAAATACTCATTGGGATTGTGCTATGAGGGACGTCGATTAGGCCATGTCCCTTGGCCACATTTAACCTCCTTTGCTCCACCAGCGTGGCGACAATGCAGCAGAAAATGGATATCATGATTCCAAATCCAATTCCTATTGCAGGTATGTGTTTTGCTTCACCATTCCAAAAATGCTTCCAGTGATTGCAATTAAAGAATGAATGCTTGCGAATATATACATGGAGAATGCATAAAAGTATATAAGGAATGATAATGTTAAGAACCTGAATCTATGAGTTATACTCATGGCTTGCTCTAGGAAAAAAGAGGTCTCCATCGAGGAAACAATTCCACAGATGATAAAAGGCATCAACATGGGAATCACAGAGGATAAAATACATAGAGTTGAACTTAATAAAATAACAAATTCAAAGATTTTGTTGAAATTGTTCATTTGAAAATTTCCCGAAAAAACTAATCATAGGTTTTTCTCTCCGTCGAAACAATAAAGCCGTTATGCTCATTGGTAAACTTGTTGAAGAGATGAAATATAATAAGGGTATAGAAGAGGGAACAGAGAGCAAACTTACTATGCTCGATTAAAGGCTTGAAATAGAGAACATCCAATAGTCACCAACAAGTCTCCACAAGGAACGTCATGGCGGCTAGCATAACATGTATTGAGCCTGTTATGACACTCACAATGGTCGCGGTATGGGTGAAATTTAGCTTCCAAACATTCGATAGAAACACCGTGATGTTCCACATGGAATACTTGGATATCTCGTTTGCCCAACTCAGCACTTGAAAATCGATTCAGGGAGAAAAAAATAATCAAATGTAATGAAATTTATCCAGTTAGAGTTAGAGTTACAATGATCAATACAATACTGGTTTGTGTGGTTTGTTCTCCAAAACAGTTTTCTATTCTCAAAAATAGTAAAACTCTTAAAATGCTGTTTGGACAACAACTTTCAAAAAAAAATTCAAAATAAGTGGGAATTGAGAACAAAAACTTGTCTGAGTTTTCAAGCCAAAATAGAAAACAAGAAAAAGAAGGGAAACAACCCAAAACTTTGTAATGAGGTCTCCGCTTCAAACCTCCTTAGCAGCAAAACATGGCATGGTATAAAAAGTTTCTTTTTTTTCACTTGTCTTTCCCTCCCAATAATAGATAATCCAATAGAATAGAGCGTGTTGTTTGAGTTGTTTAAGCTCTTAACTTAGAAAAATACAATAATAATCTAAATCATTTAGATCTGACAGTTTATCTTACGATTTAATACTTTAACTTTTTAACTACCATAACTCATTTAAATAATTGTCAACTAAAAATAATTAAAAGACAAGAATAATGTTATTAGAACTTAAATTTTTAATTTAATTTGTTGACTTAATAATGTGAGTTCGTTGTAACTATTGGAATAACACCAAATTCTAATATTTGATGGAAATATGATCAATTCAATGACTATAGTAAATTTAAGTCCTAATAGCATTGCTCCAAAAACAAATGTCTTGGGTTTAGTGAGAAAGAACTCAAATTTCGTCGCTTAATACTTGAGTTCGAGTCTCTATAAC